ACCCACGCCTCGGTCAACAAGTCTTGGCTGTATACTTTCGGAGTGCAGAACTAACTCCCTGCGACCCCCCAAAAAAGGAAGGTTTTTGCAGAATAATTTCACTAGAAAAATACAAGGCAATTCGTCTTTAAATATCTTCCCGCTTTTGTAAGCCAAGTCCACTCTCTTCATGTCCTATCGCTCAATTCTACGATGCCGTCGGTCGGAGTCCTCCGGCTATAAATTTTCAATCCTGCATAGACCACTTAAACATCCTTGCTTTGGCCCGCCGGCCCCTTTGGCCCTTTCGGCCCACTACCCCCCCCCCTCCCAAAGCCCTCCCTCTGGATAACCTTGTTTCCTCGTCGCTCGGCGGCTCCCTTTTGCCTCTTCATTTTAATTTCTTGTTGCCGACTCGCTTGTTCTCCGCGCCTATTTAGGGAAGGCCGCCTCGCTCCGCCCGCTCTGCCCGCTCGGCGGGCTCGGCCTCGAGCGCGCTGGGTGGCCGCCCTGGCGAGCTGGCAGACTGGCAGTCGCACACGAGCGGCGCGGAGTCCCGCGTACCAGGCGCACCAACTCCTGCGCTCCGATTTCCGCTGCCAACCTCCGCATAAAACAACACAACAAGTTAGCAATCGCCCCGGCAGGGAGGTGTATCATCGTGAGTGGGACCCGCGGTGCCGCCAACATAAAAGAAAACCTCAACACAACAAAACAAGGACAAATATTCTCAGGTCTACTTTATTTTCGACTAACAAAATGATAAAGAAATGTGCTTCCCCGTCTGTTTCCGAAAACAGGCGCATTGTGCGAGGCCAAGTCTATCCGCAGCGCAGCGGCACGGCAGTGGCGCGGGGGACTGATTTCGGGAGTCGTCTTCGTCGCTCTGCGTCCCTCGCACCCAGAAGAACGCCCCACAGGTGCGACGGAGACGGAGCGACGAAAAGCACTCTCTGCAGGGACGCGGCGAGAGTAGCGCCGAAAAGTGATCAGTAGTTCGCCTTCCCTCCAGTCATCAGTTTCCGAACAAGTCGGGGCCGAGTGGAGACGGGGACGCGCGGAGACGCCAGCCCGGAAGTGTGAGGGAGAATTTGTGAGCTCGCGAGCAAAGAGTGAGAGAGAGAGAGAGAGAGAGAGAGAGAGAGAGAGAGAGAGAGAGGGGGGGGGGAGGCAGCGCACCCTCCGCATCTTGAGGAGTTTGTGCAGTGCCTAACTAACGCGCGCGGTGCCAAATGCAAAAGTTGTTTTCAGCTGGAAGATGTTTTGCAACTTCTGGTTGGCCCGGCCGGCGGCAGGGCTGCGCAGTGGGCCCCGCCCGCAAAACCGTGCACGAGGTGTGTTGTTGTTGATGATGTTGTTGTCTCCGTTTCTGGAGCGGAATCTTCGCTGGAGTCGCAGCACGCTGGAACTGCTGGAACCGGGGCGGTGGCGCATCGACGGCCGGTCAAGCGTCGACCCAGGACCGCGGAGCCTGGAACAGATTTTGAGGTTAGAGAGAGAGAGAGAGAGAGAGAGAGAGAGAGAGAGAGAGAGAGAGAGAGAGAGAGAGAGAGAGAGAGAGAGAGAAAAAGCGTACGCACCTGCGTGGAGTCCCAGTGCAGGGGCTGCGGCGTCTCCCTCTGCCACGTGACGTGCACACTGGCCGCGCGCTGCAGCTCGTGCCACACACTGGTGACCGCGGCGCCGGCCAGCAGCGCCTCCACCTCCTGCCCAAAGGCCGTCTCGGTGCGGTCCCCGCTCGCCACCTCGAGAAAAAAACAACAACAAAAACACACTCAAAAAGCAAGAAAAAAGCAACAGAAAACTGAAAAAAAAGGGTGGTATTTGAACCCAGGCCAGGGGACGGCCCCGCAAAGCACTGCAAAGTTTATAGTGTATACCTGGAGGTGGGTAACGTGGCCGGCGCGTGCCAGGCCATACCGAGTGGCCGCCACCTCCCTCTGCTCCCTCTTGGGGGCGGCGGTGGTGCCGGCCGTGCCTGCCGAGGTGGCGGCCCCGCTGGCCCCGCTGGCCCCGCCGCGCTCCTGCTGCGGCGTGGCCAGCCTGGCCAGGTCCCTGCTGTCCACCAGCGTGCGGAAACGGAAGGTCATGTCCACCAGGAACGCCCGCAGCAGGTGACTGTTGTCGCCCGTGCGCAGCGCGCCGCGGATCTGGGACGCGGGGGGGATAAAAGGTAAAAAGGTTGCCGGCGTTGCAGTGCCGCCAGCCAATCGAATCGCCCTGTAAAAAGTAACGCGCACCTTGAGGGGCTTGAGCTTGACGCTGAAGTAGACGGCGGGCTCCGTGTCGTTGACGCCGAGCAGCGTCACCTCGCCGCTCCGCAGCCCGGAGATCTCGGTGCCCTCCACGAGGTGCAGCGGGCGCAGCGTGCGGCGCAGCGACGCGTGCTTGTACTGCGGGCAGAGAGCGTGGCCGCGCGGTTAGAGGCGTCGGTTTGCGACGCCGCAGGTCCCGAGTTCGATTCCCACCAGGGTTTTTCTTTGTAAGTGCGGGGCCCCGGGGAAGCGATGCTGTGGTTTCTCTTAAGTTGATCAGACGCCCCGCGGTCCGGCCCGCCAGCGAAGCTCCCAGCGGCGGAACGTTTTTCTCTAATTGCTCGCGGGTTGGGCCTCTGCCGATAAGTCGGCCCGCGGCTGGCTGCACCCCACCACCCCGCACCGCCCCGGCGGCCGCGGCCACGTGGAACCTCATTTAGAACAGAACTAATGCCGGGAGGAGATTTAATATTTGAAGGGCCTGGCTGCCGGTGCTGCCGGTGCTGCTGGCTGGCACGGAATGCGTTGCTGAGGTCCTCGGGGGCGCTCTAAGCCCGGCCAGCCGACCAATCTTCTTTCCGGGATGCCCCCGGGCCCCGGTGGGGGCCGCACGGGGCGCGGCGGGGCGGGGCGGGGTGGGGCGGGGAGCTAATGGCCGGGATTGGAGCCCCCGGAGGGCAGGGCAGCCCCGAGGCGGGCCGCCTGGGCCCCCACACGCGCTGGCCACACGGCCTTACTCACATACTGCATGACGGTGTCCTCGAAGGCCAGCAGCTCGACGCGGTCCCCCAAGATGAGCAGCAGGTCCTCCCACGCCCGGTGGGCCAGCGCCAGCGCCTGGGAGTAGGACAGCCCGCAGGCCGGCGCGGGCACCAGCCCCGTGGCCCTGCGGGATTTGAGGGGGGAAAATGGCGCGAAGTCTGCCTCGTCCTTCCCGTATTATTTTGACCGTGGGGAAATGGCATTTTTATGCGTGAATTCGTGATGAGGAATTGGTTAGGACGGAACGACGGGATCGATTGTAAAAACGTGTAACGGGGGAAATCGACAAAAAAAGACACTCACGTTTTTAAAAATAGTTGATACGGATGCCACAACCTGTTTGACGTGATATCAAGACTGCTGAAAAAAAAGCACGGTTTCTTTTGTCACTGGGTGCAATACGGCTACATCAGCGGAGCGCTGCCACCGCGGGTTCGTCGCCGTCCTCCTCGTCGGCCACTTCATCGCCGGTCCTTTCCCCACTTTTCCTTTTTTCAGCGGATTTATTCCGGGGGAATACTCCTTCACAGTGACGGCCATAAAGGAGCCACCCGCTTCAGCGCTAATTACCAAAAAAATACCGGAGAAAACAGATGAAAATCGAAAATACCTGTCGGGTTCCTGGGTGACGCCTTGGCTGGCGTCCACGGCCGCGGCGACCACCGCCGCCACCGACAACAACACCGCCGCCTCCAAGACCTTCATGTTGGCGGTGCAGGCCTCGCGGGAGCAGACGGCGCACTGCTGGGGCCAGCGAGGCTCGCTCTTGCATCTCCCTGCACGTGAGGGGGAAGGAGGAGAATCCCTGCTCAGTCCGCGCAGAGAGAGAGAGAGAGAGAGAGAGAGGGAGAGAGAGAGAGAGAGAGAGAGGGAGAGAGAGAGAGAGAGAGAGAGAGAGAGAGAGAGAGAGAGAGAGAGAGAGAGAGAGAGAGAGAGAGAGAGAGAGGCTCGGACGGTCTAAAATGAACGGTGGACGCAAACCGGCGCTGTGGCTGCAGAGATACCGCCGCTCAAGATGCGGCGCGGCCAGTCAAGTGGAGCTAACGCAATCGCCCACACTGTGGGGCTGTGTGTGGCGCAAATGAGTGGGGAGAAGAAGATGGAGAAGGGGGAGGAGTATTTGCATCAATGGGGCTACACCGGTAGGAAAAAGTGAAGATAAGGACGGAGTCTGGTCAATTATTTACGTGGACCGTACCTTACCATGGACGTTCAGGTTTTTTTTTTTCAGAACCAGTTTACTTTAAGCATGGATCCTACACTCTACCAAAAATGTCCTGTAAATGCCGTTAATTTATTACCAGTTTTCACTGTAGGTCAATTCACAGCGTTTACTGTGATCTGCTCACGGGATTCACTGTGATCTTGTTCGCGGTGTTCACTGTGATCTGGTCCCCAGTAAACACTGTGAGTTTGACGCCGCTAAGCACCGAAGTACTGCAAATCAGGCTCCAATTCACGGCGTTTACTGTGGCCAGATCACAGTGAACACTGTAACCGAGATCACAGTGAACGCCGTGAACTAGTTCACAGCAAACGCCGTGAATTGCATAACAGCAAACATTGGTAATAAATTAACGGCGTTGACAGGACATTTTTTGTAGAGTGTAAGGGACCAAAAAGCGTCCTTTTCGCAGTGTTTGTTCTTCGCTGGAAAACCATTTCGGACTCTCGTTCGGACTCTCTTTTCCTCGGGAACGAAGTTGTCGGCCACGACGCCGAGGGAGCAGTACCTCCTAAAAGTACCACCTCGCCGCGTCATGGACACTATGCAAGCCACTCCAGCAAACCAGATCGACTTTCTTTTGCCCCCTCCCCTCCCCCAAACGACTTAAAGTTTGGAGCGCGGCCGCGCCGTTCCCGGTGCGCGGTTCTTCAAGACCTTTAACGCCGCCAGCGCGCTAGCGGAGCTCCCCGGCGAGCGGAGTGTCGCGAAGAACAGCGCCTTTTACGGTGTGGGTGGTCCAACCACGCAGTCGGGTCGATCGGTGCTCGTCATCACACTTTGCTCTCTCAAGTCTCTTTTATTTCCTTGTTTCCAAATCACAGAGTGAGTGTCTTTCTCTCCGGCCCTTGGAGTGCCGGGGTGGCTTACGGCCTCCGGTCTTCCCGGCGCGCTCTATTCCCGAAGGACGGTTACTCGGTCACAAGTATCCGAAGCCGCCCAGCTCGCCCTAAAACAACAAGGAAGACCCGTTTAGGCCGCGGCTCGTCTTCAGAAGGGCTTCCAGTGCGAGCGTGCCTTGTCGCTGGAGAGTTCCGGGCAGTAGCCCCAGCCGGGTAGCCGCTCGGCCAGGTGGTACAGCTGCGAGACGAGCCCCGTGACGGCCGCCCCCGCCACCAGCGCCTCCACGTCCTGGCCCCAGCGCACGTAGTTCTCGTCGGTCATCAGGTTCTTGACGTACCTAATCGTGACCAAAATCACGTATAAGACAGCGCGGCTCTCAACCTCTTGTAACCCATACGTAGCAGCAAAAAAATCGCAGCACTACAGTCAAATAGTTACCCACTCTCTGAAAAAAAAAATGCCCCTAACCCGAAAAAAATGCTTACCCAGCCGTCACCATGCAGATGGTGTGGTTGCTGCAGTCACCGTCATGGCCGTCCCAGGACACCTTGATGAACATGTTGTGCAGGTTGGCGGTGAGCAGGTGCGGGCCCTCGTGGTCCGCCATGGTGCCTTCGATCTATCAGACAGCAACAACAGTGTCAGTCTAACACGGTTTGTTGTTGTTGTTGTTGTTGTTGTTGTTGTTTGAACTCACCAGCCCCTCGATCTGCACGATGCCCCAGGGCTGCTGCGGCTCCTCGGAGAAGGTCTGCCAGTCGCTGGCGGAGACGTACTTCATGACCGCGCCGCGGTGCAGGTGCAGCGGGGTCAGCATCTTGCGGAGGGACCTCGCCCCCACGTGCTGAAAAAAAAAACAACATTTTTTGGAGGGAAATGTTTTGTAAACGACCTCATAGCAGGAAAGACTTTTAGGAGGGCACTTGGTTCCAAAGTAAAGTCTCGACACCGTTTGGAAATTCCTGGCCCCTAACCGACCAACCGCTCCCGGTGGCGCGCCGGGCTCTCTCAAGCCTCAGCATATTGGCACGGCCCGGGGGTCCGGGGCGCGTGCCCCAACACCTCAACGAGGCACTCAACGAGGTACTCACGTGCTGCAGGATGGTGCCGTCGAAGGCGAGCAGCGTGACATTGCCCGAGTCCTGCTGCAGGAAGGCCTGCCACGCCGCCATCAACTCCTTCTTGCCGGGCGGAGCGGCCGACTCGCTAAACACCAAATATTTATCATAAGTTTCCCTCTCGAAAGTAGACTCTTTTTTTCGCTCTCTCTCCGGCCGGCTGCTGCTGCTGAACCAGACCAGGAAAAGAGGAGGGGGGCTTCCCCGCAAAACGACCACAACACTACCCACCCTAATCTGATAACCAGCGCCCCGCCGACACTAGTGCAGCGCTAGCGCGGCTAGCGCGGGTAGCGCCCCGGCGGCGCGGCGGGTAACTAATAATGGGTCGGCATGATTTTCTGGTCCGTAGTGCCGCCACTGCCGGCAGGGCTGGCCAGGGCACTGCCAGCGCGCCACTAGAATCGTGTTGGTCGCGTAATCTGGCGTCGCGGCGCCGCTGTGTTCATCGGCCGGGAAACGTGACCGGGGACATTTTAAACAGCATTTCGGGTTGCTTCTGAAACTTCTCCCCCTTTTCCCCCTTTTCCCTCCTCCTCCTCCTCCTCCTCCTCCTCCTCCCCCTCCTCCTCCTCCTCCTCCTCCTCCTCCTCCTCCTCCCCCTCCTCCTCCTCCTCCTCCTCCTCCTCCTCCTCCTCCCCCTCCTCCTCCTCCTCCTCCTCCCCTCCTCCTCCCCCTCCTCCTCCTCCTCCTCCTCCTCCCCCTCCTCCTCCTCCTCCTCCTCCTTTCCTTTTCGCCGCGTTTCCACGAAATTTTCCGAACGGCACGCTAACGCGGTGCTCGCTGGAGAGGGAGGCAAGGTCTGTCATAATTGCACCAATTCGAGGCCCTGACAAGGAAATTAAAACAATTGAGCGACGCCGCGCGGCGATTGGTCAGGGACGAGCTGGCCGAGCCGTGCCGAGCCGAGCCTCGGCGTGGCGTGGTCAAGAAGGCGTGGGCGGACGGTCGGGGCATGTGGGCTGCTAGCGGCCAAGTGCGTGCGCGCGCTGGCGGTCAGGAAAAAAAAAAGACTAAGTGACGCGGGGATTCGAACCCGAGCGGGAAACAACTTCGACATTAGACCGGCTGCATGTCCAATAAAATATTACAGTGGATCTTACGATCTTTTTTCTGGTACCACAAAACTTTTGACACCAACAATCAAGAGTGAGTTCGTGTTTCTCGGAACTTACGTGCCGTTTTCCCCGCAAGAGGCGTACACCAGCGACACGCAGGACAGCAGCCCCGCCAGGCGCAGTAGCCACGCCATGTTGCGCCGCCTGCAGGAGAAATAAAAAACAAAAGAACGGCAGGAAATTAATGATAATATCGGTGAGACGAAGCAAGCCGAAGCAAGGCGAAGCAAGCCGAAGCAAGGCGCGCTGTTTGAAGAACCCGGTGCGGCATCTGCATCACGGGCGGGGTTCGAACAGCGCTGGAGTCTGCTTCCGCGCGCTGCTGGCGTCGCTCCGTCTCTCTCGCGCCCCCGCGGACCGGCCGGGCGGCTCGTGAGAGCGAGCGGGACAGAGCGACGGCAGCTGCGTTCGGAGGGCTGGCGGGACACGGCTCCGCGCGACGCCGTGTAACCCAGTATGCTAATTCCGCACCGCGCCGCGCCGCGCCGCGCGCCCTCTCCCGGCCGGGTCGTCGTTCCGAACACGGCGCGGGCCCGCGTTCGAATACCGCCGGCGGCAGCACATTTTTCCGGGCGACCCGGACGCAGCCGCGCCCGTCTTTTGCCCCCCGGCGTCGTGACGTGCTCGGCGCGAAAAACCGGAAGTGACAGATGCGTGATGGGCAAGGGGCGACGCGCCGTGTCGCCGCCGACGTGGGGGTGGGAGGGGGGGGGGAGTTCACAGGGGAGGAGAAAAGACAGGCCGCGCAGGGTGCCGACGGGGGCGCCATGATGGAGCTGGCAATGCAGGTCACTTGGGCTGGCACTAGGAGGGAACGGAGACATCGCGAGGTCACCGCGGCAGGACCGTCGGCAACCTTGCCTCCCGAGTCATGTCACCGGGTAGGAGGGACACAGATACATCGTGGAGGTCACAGCGTTACAGCAACATTGCGCGACCAAGAAAAACGAACCAGAGCAGCCAAACTATCAACACTTCAAAATTTAAATATATTTTTTCTCACACAATTGAAGTGAGAGGTCCGTTACTCGTACGCTAAAAGGCCTGCTGAGGGCTCCACAGCGCTGATGGACACCAAGACGCTGACGGACGAAACACTCGACGACGCTCACCTCGTGCCGCGGGCCGCAGGTCGCCGTGGAGTCCTCGCGCTTGCCGTGCGGCGGCGGCCTGGCGGCGTGGCGCTCTGTGTCTCCGTGTCGCGGTGCTGCCTGCCGCGCGGGGGCCGCGCCGCTCTCTGAGTCGTCCAGCGCGTCGCGGCGGCGGCGGCGGCGGCGGCCCGCTTGTCTTCCGTCGTCGTCGGCGTGCCTGCCGTCATCAGGGCCGAGTGGGGGGCAACCGCCACCACCGCGACGAGCACGACGGCGGCGAGACGCACAATGTCAATCAATTTTCTGTTTCATTCCCCGTTGTCTTTTCCGCGCGCGCGATTTCCACCAGACACGAAACCGCGGGGGGCGGGGGGCAGGTTGTCGACCCGCGGTGTGCAGCAGACACATGGCGGACACAAATAACGTCTATGAATATCGGGCGTGGCGGGCGGAGCGAGCGGTAGCGAACCGAGCGAAGCGGCCCTCACCCACAGCCAGCCAGCCAGCCAGCCAGCAGCCAGCCCGCCAGCCCGCCAGCCCGCCAGCCCGCCAGCTCGCCTGGCGGCCAACGGCCGAGGGGTTGCGCAGCATTGCGCAGACGCTCCAGCAGGAGCAAAACGTGCATAACGCGTCCCCGGCCGATCTGCATAAGTCGGCGCGTCCAAGCCGCCTCCAGCAGCGGCGTCACATTTTCGGACACGACGCCGAGGGCCTGATCGGAGTGCGTGGGCCTGGTCCCACCCGGGCGCGGGGGCTGGCGGGGCTGGCGGCCCCCCGACTTCCATAAACACTGCGACTTTAGCGCGCCGAGCCTGTCTGGGCCGCCGAGCCGCCACGGCGGTGAGCACTGCACTTTACTGCAGGCCCCTCGGCATCGGACGTCCCTTATTGCCGCGAGTTGATAATAACAATAAGAAGATGATCCCCCCGAGCTGTCTGCCTCTCTCGCTCGCCCGCGGCACGCCGCCACGCCCCACGAGTGCGAGAGAGGCGGTAGCGACGCGCGCGCGCCGTCGCCGGTTAGTTTCCCGCAGGGTCCTCGGGCGTTAATTCCGGTCAGAGTGCCGCCCCCGCCACATTGAAATGGTCACTTGCACGGCACGTTGCTCCATCATGGACATCGCCCCTCCGACACCCTCAGTGGGGCGTTCGGGCCAACACACACACACACACACCACAGAGGGGCGCACAAACAAATACAGTGTGAGCGACTTGCTTCGTTACGGCGCGCGTCGTTACGACGCCACGCCCTCCGCCATCCGCACAAAACACACGTCATTGGCGACTAATGAAATCTTGATTTATGCTTTTGTTTCGGATCCGCGCGGGCGGCAGGCCGCAGCCCGAAATCTGGAGCGCGGCTGCCGTGCGGGGAACAGGCACGCACGCGTACAGTCTGACACACACACACACTCTCTCTCTCCCCCCCCCTCCTCCCCGCACACAACTCACACACGCTATTGTCTGAACGGCCCATTCCTTCCTCCACGTTTGCATTCCCGTCCAATAATAAGGGTCCATGAGCCATTCCTCAAACGCCTCCCCCCCCCAACTCGCACCTCCCCTGTGTCCTTCCCCTAATCGACAGCCCCCTCTCCCTCCCTCTCCCCCTCTCCCTCCGCCAGCCGGGCGTCGCCGGCGCACGATGTGTTGCCTACCGGCCCGGCGGCGCCGCCCGGGCCGTCCTCCCCGGCCGTCCTAGCCGTCCTGGCCCTCCTCGCGCAGACGCCGTGAAATTGTGTACGCGTGGCGGGACGCAAAGTGGCAGCGGCTACACTCGCAAAAAAAAAAACAACAAACGTGTGGCTGGGAAAAATATTTCAATTTCAGCCCCCTTCCCGACAAAAAAATTACAAAAAAATACGTTTACTCTCACTTACATGGCTTTTGGTGTCAGTGACGGCATTCCAAAAGGGGTCGGCTGGACACCGCGCTCTGGCCGACTCCACGTGCTTTTCGAAATCCGATAGCCACCGGGTCGCTGGCGAAGCTGGCGCAAATGGGGTCCAAAATAAGAAAACGCGCGCCGTTTTCCCGTGTGTGTTTTTTTTTTAAGTCGTCCAAATTAAATTTGATGCCGCGAGGGAAACACACGCTGGTGCTGGTCGGCGCGCCGGAAGGCAGCGAGGTCTAACAGCAACGGCTCTCTCACTCGGCGGTGACCGCTCGCCCCGCCCCGCCCCACCCCGCCACGCCCCGCCCCCCCCCGCCCCACCCCGCCCCGCCCCGCCACGCCCACCCCACCCCGCCCGCCCCGCCCCGCCCCCCCCCACCCCGCCACGCCCCGCCAGGGCCCCACCCCACCCTTCCCGCCCCACCCGCCACGCCACGCCCCGCCCCGCCACCCCCCACCCCACCCCGCCCGCCCGCCCGCCCCCCCCCCCGCCCGCCCCGCCCCGCCACGCCCCACCCCACCCGCCCGCCCGCCGTGGGCCCGGGAAACTATAGGTGCTCGTTTCGGTGGAATTGGGCCACGTCCGCCGGCTTGCCTGCTTGTCTGGCCGTCCGTCCGCCTCGTTCATTATCGTAACAAGGACCGCCACCCCTTCCCGAGATTTCAAACTTTGTCGCCGCGCGACGCTTTTTATTTGCGTGTACCGGGAAATTTCCCACCGGCAACGACCCGCGGCTTCTTAAAAAAATAAAACCTCAAAAAAAATTGAGGTTCGTAGGAAAGAACTGCTGCTTCGCAGCGGCGGTATTTGAACCCGAGACTGGCCGGTAAATACCAAAAGAGAAAGACCTAATAACCCATCGTCCTTTTTCCACGACCCATCTGTCGGAAACAAAAGGTTGCGCGACAAGGACGAACAGGACGAGGAGGTGCAGCGCGGAACGAAAAAGGCCAAAAGATAAAAAACAACGGAGCCGAAAGAACAACGTGGAAAGGAGTGCGACGGAGAAGAAGCGCGTGGCAGAGCGGAGCAGAGCGGAGCAGGGATTCCAACCCGACCAGTGCCAATTAGTTTGAGCTCCCTCTTTTTAGAGCGTCAGCCAGCAGACCGGGCGGCGAGGCGGAGCGGACGGCCCCGGGGAAAAAATCAGAGTCACTGCAGAACGCGGAAGAGCGAGGAACGGCGCGGAGCGAGCGAGAGAGAGGGAGAGAGAGAGAGAGAGAGAGAGAGAGAGAGAGAGAGAGAGAGAGAGAGAGAGAGAGAGAGAGAGAGAGAAGGAGAGAACGTGAGGCCAATTGCGGGGCGCATCGTGTCGGCACCCTCTTCTGTTCTATCCAAATGAAATCGGCTGCGCGTTTAATGAAGCGTCGAGGCCACCGCACCACCTTGGCGAGGTTTATGTTGTCGTCTTTGTTTTTGTTGATTTTGTGTTGGGACGCGGAAAGTCGTGCACACTGCTGCTAGGCGCTTCGCCACTTGATACGGGATTAAGGTGCGGAGAGAGGTGTGTTTTTTTTTGGTTTCGGGAATCCCTTTCACGTAGACCCTTCGGCCACAAAACTATAAAGAGGTATTTGCACTCAGGTGTATGGCGTCACCCACCCCTCCACCATTCCCCACACCAAGTGGACGTCGTCACCGTGCGCCGCGCTAAACGCCCAGCTCGCAGTTGTTTACTTTTTTTATTGTTGTTTTTTATTTATTTTTGCACGCGCTGCCGCGTGGCCGCGGGGCGAGGGGCGAGGAGGGCGGCCGGTTTACGACCTTTACGGCCACGTATGGTGTCCTTAATTTTCTAGGCCGCGTCCACGCCCCGTGCGCCGCCAACACGCCCCGCCCCGCCCCGCCCCGCCCCGCCCCACTTCGCGCCGCCCACGCTGCGTTCGCACGGAACCAATTTGAAGGGGTTGTTACTGCGTCTGGCCGGCGAGGCCGTGATGCTGGGGCGTGGTGGCTGGAAGGGTGATCGGGTGTGGCGTGGCGCCTCTCACCTGGAAACTACCTTCGGGGCTGCGCCGGGCTGCGCCGGGCTGCGGGCCGCTCAGTTCAGGCCGTCGCCTTGCTTCGCCTTGCTTCGTTCGGTCGCCGCTCAGCCGGTCACCACGCGTCCACCACCAGCAGTGCTGCCAAGCCCCCTCCCCCTCCCCCCCCCCAGACACACACAAAGCTTGGCGCGAAATTCTAGAATCAAGTTATTGGAGTTTGGAGGCGTGCGGCAACGAACAGGCTGACCCCGGTGTCAGCCTACAGTGTGGCGGGTCGTGGCGCACGGCTTTTGAGCAGTCACACACACACGCGCACACACACACTAGCAGACAGTGGCGCGGCTTCGTCACGTCAATCTAGGCTCATATGTTGGCACCACTGGGTGGCCTACGCCTTGCCCGGCCAGGCCGGGCCTGCCCCCCACTACCACCACGCGGCGGTGTGTGATGTTGGTATTCATGGAGAGCCCTTGAAAGCCCGGCCATCCCTCCCTCTCTGTCCCTCTCCCTGCCTCCCTTTCGCCGTCCTCATCCTATCATGCGCTTCACACACACGCACACACGCACGCACGCACACACACACACACACACACACACACACACACGCACGCACGCACACACGCACACACACACACACACACACACACACGCACACACGCACACACGCACACACACGCACACACACACACACGCACGCACGCACACATGCGCTGCTTCGGCGCCACGCCCACCCAGCTTGCGTGGTATAAAAGGCCCATCAATGTTTACGGCCGCCCCCTTCGGTCCCTTCCCCTCTCCAGTGCTGGTGTCGTCAAAACGCGGTATTTGTTATGCCGTTCAGTAAGTTCGGAGCCGCGCGGCGCGCGCAGCACAGGAGGCAAGGCACGGTGCCAGGATAGTTGGACCTCTTTTCGGCGCCCCCGATCGCCGATCTCGCGATGCCGCCGAAGTGATTGGCTCGTTTTCTTTCGTCTTTTGTTTTCGTTTCGTTCTGTTTCTTCCAAATTCGTGCCGAGGTACTTGCTATCCCCGCTCTCGTCGTTCTGCGGACGATCACGATGATCAAAAGGTTACTCGTCGGTATCCGCATTTTCCTCGTCCAAGTGGCGACACGAGAGCCGGAAATCTGTATTCCAAATTGGGCAGGCGAGTGTCCTCTGGAGGGGGGCTTTCTCTCTCTCTCTCTCTTTCTCTCTCCCACGTGACGTCGAGTGATCCCGTTGCAGCACGTCGCGTGCAGCACGGCGGCGGCC